TCGAATCACTAGAGTGAAAGACCTCAACTATGATACCATGTGAGAATAATTGGAACCCCATTAGATCACTCTATAAAAATCCTCCCTTAACGAGAGAACTATGGAGTTTCCAGCATATATAGAGGAGAATCGGTCCATGTCTGGTGAATGTTGGGCTTTAACAACAAAGTAAAATAGACGTACCCATCTTGGAGTTATTAGCGCGGACGTAGAGATCATGACCAGTATCGTAGTTATTTACGATATCCACAAGCTCCCTGAACCAATTCAGACAAACTACTATAATAAGGTCTGTTACATTAGCATAAACATAAGCTGTACAGGAGCAGTTCTAGAAGCATTTGCGTTCACAGTCACTAACACTACTATTGCCTATTATAACTGCATGATCAGGTAGGTTCATTTTTTCAAACTTCAAAAACCGATCTCCCATACTGCACCTCAAACGTCTTATTCCTCTCGCATCCACCCGTTCAATTTCCCACGATCCATTCATTGTGTGATTTTGGCTGGAAACCAGTCAAACACTTAATGGAATGGATTCATTTTTTTGACAAATTGTAAATGGACCACAGTGGCTGTAAAAATCACATTTACCTAGCGGCGCCTGCCATAGAACCATCCATATAGTTTTCACCCATACCAATAACTCAATTCGCCCGCTATGAACCAAGGTGAATAGTGTGCTGATCGAGCTTGTAGAGATGCTGGACACGATAAATTTCATCTTCTTCTATAACCCAACTTATGTACGCTGAAAATCCTCGATCATAGTTTACAAACGGACTGGCGTAAGAAAAAGTTGTAGCGTAGACATTGCTTCTCCAATATGGTTGGTGGCCCTTCCAAATATAAAACTGGTATCCATTTGGGTCTTTCCCCATTGAGAATATACCTAATGAAGGATCCACATCGTTTACCCATGACGTAAGATGCAGTTCTTGACCAGTTCTTCTGTTGGTGCTATTTTCATCTCAGCCACATATGTGTCTGATGGATGATCAAAACTCTGCCATCGATAACCACCTTCACCACTTCTAAGTTGAAGATTACCGTCATCCAGTAACACTGCAACTGTTGAACTTGTAATATTAAAGCTGTTCACTGTAACATTTGATGTCCACACGACCTCTCTTTGTTCCGCTTAAAACCACAAGATTTCCATCTTCAGAAAGCTGGAAAACTGCTGGTGAACTTTTGGGAATTGGAGATGCTCTATTGGCAACCTATATGACTGTTAGTTTGGGGATTGTATTGTACCATATCCCCAGGTAGCTACTGGTGGAATTATGAGGACTGAAGAAGCCTAATACAAACTTACCTCCTGCTGAGATTATGGTTTGGTTTTTAGTGATGGAGTTGGTTGTAGTTATGCTGTTTTCAGTTGCAGAAACAGGCAAGAGAGAAGAAGATGATGATGACACAATGAACAAAAGACACCATAACCATTGGATTGATGTTCTATGTGCCTTCTTCAGATTCTGTTTCTCCATTGGACTGAATTTGGTCAATTGATGGCCTCTCGGCCTTCCATTTGACTCCAAAACAGATGTGGACGTTCATGACATTTAAACCAACAGTGATTAGCTTTAAATTTCAAGAACTAATGACAAAGTCGACCTTAATTAAGGACAGACACCAAATTGCGCCAACTCACTTCGTATGCCGATTTCTCCTCCGTTCCACAAATTTCTAGCACGGTTTTTCTCCGACGTCAAACTCCCACCCTTAAAAGGCTTGCTTTAAGGGGCCAAATCGGCTATCAAAGTCAAAGACCTTCCAGCCTAGTGGTAAAGGCTTGGGCATGGCATAGTCATGAACCCGAATTCGAGCCCTAGGAGGGGAGTGTTAGCGACATTTAAGTGGGGCCATGTTTAGCCTCCAAAATTGTCGGAGATTAGTTGGGCTTTGGCCCGGACATCCTTACAAACAAAAATCGGCTATCAAAGCTTAGAGCAAGTGTTATGGTAACTTTCTCCAAAACGAGAATTCCATCCTAAAATAATTTTAAGAGTTGATATAACCAGCCCCTTCATTTTTCTTTGGGCAAAATGCATAAAATAGCAATCTACTTTCATAAATTTCTTTATTATAGCATTGTACTTTCAGTTTTTCTTATTACAGCAATGTACTTTCAAACTATTTTTTATTAGGACATTGTACTTTAAAAATTTTACCCATTATAGCATTGGGGAACCTTTTGATTTAAATTTACCCATTATACTAGGTTTTCATGTCACCTCATTATCCACGTAGGCTGTTCATATGTACTATAGTGATGTGACTTTCTTATTACATCATTGTATTTCAAAATTATTTTATTATAGCATTTATTAGTTCTTATTAAACACTGTATTTTTAATTTTAATATTTAGATATTTTACATGTCATTTAATAAATGTATTAAATGAATTAAAAAAAATTCTAAATTGTTCATTAATATACCAATATCAATAAAAACTAGTAGAACACAACTTATCTCGCTAACATTTTAAAAAAAATATGTGTTTTTTGAAAAAAGGAAAATAAAAATTGTTCTTTTTTTACCAAAAATATTATCTTTTAAAGAATATATTATATTTATTCAAAAACTTTTTACTTGACGTATAAATATATTAAACTAATTAGACTTTTTTGAATTATTTATTAATATAACAATATTAAAAAATTGTTAAAATAACAATTTATTTCGTTAATATTTTAGAGAACTTTAAAAGATATGTATTTATTTGAACAACATAAAATAGAAAAAATTACCTTTTTTACAAACAAAATATATCTCGAAAATAATGTTTCATATTTATTTAACAAATATTTTACTCTAATAATATTTAATTTGAATGCAATTTAATAAGAAAAAGTAAAAAAAATGTTTTTTTAGATCATAACAATGAAAAATGAAAATCACTAATAATAATTTGAAATAAGTTTTTATTTTAATTTTAGTTAAGTCATCAAAATGATGTGGCATCCACATCATCTCATTAAAACCACACAAGCAAAAAAGTCAAAGGGTTAACCGGTTTAAAAGGTAACAGGTTACCCATTGCTATTATGGGTAGATTTTTTAAAGTACAATGCCTTAATAAAAAATAATTTAAAAGTACATTGCTGTAATAAAGAAAAACAAAAGTAGAATGCTATAATAAGAAATTTTATGAAAGTAGGTTGCTATTTCATGCATTTAATCCTTTTTCTTTTATTTCAATTCTGACCCAAAAGAAATATCGGTTATTTCATATAGGGGTGGACTTGGTATGGTACCAAGTTTTTTTCTTCAATACTGTGCACCAACCAATTATAATTGATACGTAAAATTTTATACCGTGTATCAATCAACTGTATTTGGTACCGACTTAATTGGTAGCAACTTTTTTCGGTTGGTACATGTTGGTACCAGTTTTGTATCAACTTCACGTTACGCAGTTTTGTATCAACTTCCAGGGTCGGCCCTGGCCACGTGCAGCCCGTGCGGCCGCACAGAGCATCAAAGCCTAAAGGGGCATCAAATTGTCATTTATTACTAGTTTTGAGTTTAATAATTTGAGAATTGGACAACTGAACTTTTGACTATAAAAACCGGCCCAAGGGCTAGTAGTGATGAATACTGAATGCAAATCGTTGGAAAAAGTTGGAAAGTTGGAAAAGTTTTTATTTGTATAAAGTTGTCTATATGAATTAATCTGTTCGTATAAGTTGGAAGAGTTTTTGTTTCGGAGAGTTTTTTAGTTGGAAGGGACATGTTTGGAATTATTTTTTTGGCTTTCTATATAAAGCTCCCCCTAGAAGCTTACTGGATAAGTTACTTTCTACATTATTAAACCACTACGAAACAGTCATGCATAGTTGAGTGAATAAGCTGTTAGTTCTATTAAACTTATTAAGYTGTTAATAGATAAGCGTTTAGTCTTTAGTCGTTAGACCTGTAACTTTTAAGTTTTACAATTTGCTTACTATGACAACAACTTGGATGTAATTTACTATTTTAGTTAAAAACTAATTATAGTTTTCCTTATTTTTTAAGTTTCATATATTGAAATAAAATTTCTATTTTGCTAATTTCAATTTTGGAAAAAGGGAAAACTAAAAAAGAAGAAAGCACGATCTTAATCCAAGATTTATCGTTTTATCATTTTATATTTTGATTCGGGGTTTTGGTTTTTATGTCCCCTCCATCGTATTTTTTTAATTATAATTAATAAAATTCAAGATCAGGATGAGATACTTAGCTTGAATAGATACTAAACTCTTTAAAAAATCGCATGTTTCGTTGTCTCATTGGCTTAAAAAAATAGGCTTAGGGGCATTTTTTTATTATTTTCGCACAGGACATCAAAAATCTTAGGACCGGCCCTGTCAACTTCATGTTACGCATGAAAACTTGCCAATTTTATTCAAAATTTAAGTAAATTTTGAGTTTCCAGGTAACACATATGATGTTTAACGAGTTTTAATTGTAAGTAATAGAATTTGCTGAATGATCGAATAAAATAATTAAAGTTACAAGGTCTAATATCATATAGATAAAAATGCAAAAAAACTAATAAAAGATAAATAAGTCGGTATCATGATACTATCATGGTTTGCAACTTTCAATCCATGTACCAACCAAGTTTGTATACTTGGTACGGTATTACCAACCGACAAAAAAATTTAATTGGTACGGTTGGTGCACATGTTGGTTGGTTTAGTTTGGTACAAAATTGTCACCCATAATTTCTAATATTATTTTTTTTTCTTTTTTATTATACTTTCCTTAAGTGGAAAAGTTGGACACTTCTTTATATTTTGGTCCAAGAAAATAACTCCATTTATTATTTATTACCCTTCTCTTTCTTTCATAATTATTTGTTTACCTCCATTGTGGGCCACATTTCCAAGTCCCCCGTTGACTACAAGTATTTCCTTAAATTTGTCTGATTGTCATGCTAATACTTTGTGGGAATCAGCAAGGTTTAGCATTTGCAGAAGCTGAGCAGAGCATTAATCGATAAAAAAACATGATTTTAGTCTCTTGTCAGCTCTTTTTCTGTTTGTTTTTCTTTTTCCTTCCTTTTCTCTCGTCTGGAGCTGATACTTTGGTTGTGAATCAATCTCTTTCTGGAGATCAAACACTTGTCTCTCTTGCTGGAAATTTCGAATTGGGTTTCTTTAGACCAGGTGAGTCTCCCAACTATTACATAGGCATCTGGTATAAAAAGGTCTCTCCTACTGTAGTTTGGGTAGCAAATAGAGAAACACCCATCTCTGATAGATTCTCTTCAAAATTGAAAATCTTAGATGGTAACTTGGTGCTTTTAGATGAGTCAGACACTCGAATTTGGTCTACAGATCTTACGATCTCTACTACTTCAAGTTCGGTGTCGGTACTTCTTCTTGATGATGGCAATTTAGTTTTGAGAAATGGTACAAGTTCAAGTCCACCAATTTGGCAAAGTTTTGATCATCCAACCCATACCCTCTTGCCTGGTAGTAAGATTGGATACGACAAGCGGACACATAGAGGGCAGGTTATTACTTCATGGAAAAGTAGGGAAGATCCTGCAGTGGGACTCTTTTCTTTAGAGATAGACCCAAATGTGTCGCAGTGGGTACTTTGGTGGAATAAATCTGTACAGTATTGGACTAGCGGACCTTGGAATGGTCGTACCTTCAGCTTAGTACCTGAAATCAGTTTGAATTCTATCTATAATTTCAGCTACATTGACAATGAAAATGAGATTTACTCCACTTATTCTTTATATAATCCTTCAATTATTTCTAGATTTATTCTAGATGTCTCGGGGCAAAGTCAGCAGCAGACATGGTTGGAAAGTGAGAAGCAGTGGACTTTGTTTTGGTCTCAACCTAAAATACAGTGTGAGATCTATGCTGTATGTGGGGCTTTTGGTACTTGCGACCAGAATGTTACTCCATCTTGTAAATGCTTGACTGCTTTCAAACCTAGATCAGAGAGTGATTGGAATCTGAGTGATTCCTCTGGTGGGTGTGTGAGAAAAACAAAGTTGGATTGTACAGTTAAGGAAGAAAAGTTGGGGTTCATAACAAGTTATGTCCCGCCCAAATTTCTTTCCTTATTTCTCGAGAATGGAATTGAGCTATTGGATGAATCAGTATGCAGAAGGTCTTGCTTGGATGACTGCAGTTGTGATGCATATAGTTTTATCAGTAAAAGATGTCGGCTGTGGAATAGTGAAAGCTTGAGAAATATATCACTTGTGTTTGTATCCGACGATGCAAATAGAAATAATGTTCCATTAAGCATCAAAGTTTCTTCTTCTGCTCTTGCTACCAATCCTGCAAAAATCAATACCAAAGTGCTTGTAGCAGGTAATCTCAAGTTGTTTTAGTTGTAAATTCTTTTTCTTCTGGTATTATTTACCCCTGCAGTCTGCAGAGTATACAATGATAGAGGGCCTTCAACCACCACTACTAAAAGCAAAAGAAAATMTTTCTTTTCCATCCCAGGAATTGTTTCAGGATTTTTCAGTCTTGTGTTTCTTTGCAGCATTGGCATTAGATTCTACAAAAAAAGGGTTAAAAGACGAGGTAACTGCTACAGTTTTAACGACATTCAATTCTAGGTGTAAACTTGTTAATCCAAATCAATATATTCTCCTAGAACTTTCGAAACAAATACTACCTGTTGTGTTTTGTATGTAATTTTAGTTCATCCATGTGACCAAGTCAGGAAGAAGAGACGAGAACCGAGGAATTTTAGAACTTCAGTTTGGCGACAATGAAGCACATGTTAGATATCTGGTAGATCCAGGGACATTGAGTGCACAAGATAGAAAAGGCATTGTTGTGCCTTTCTTTGAATTCAGAACCATATCATCTGCCACRCAAAACTTTTCGCTCGCAAATAAACTTGGGCAAGGGGGATTTGGGCCTGTTTACAAGGTAACAACTCTTGCTTCTTACTCATATCCCTTCCTCCCAAATGATGGTCCAATTTTGAGTATCAAAAAGGCCTTCTGAATCAACAAAAAATGGACTTACTTTAGGGACACAAGTAATCACGTTATGCTTTACCAAGTCCATATGTTTTGGGCACTTAATAGGGAATGCTCCCTGGAGGAACTGAAATTGCGGTGAAGAGGTTGTCGAGCCGGTCTGGACAAGGCTTGAAGGAATTCAAGAACGAGGTAGTATTGATTGCTAAACTTCAACATCGTAATCTTGTTAGGCTCTTGGGATACAGCATGAAGGATCATGAAATGATACTACTCTATGAATACATGCCTAATAAAAGCTTGGACCGTTTCATATTTGGTTAGCCTTTGTGTATTTCTAAATCTTTTATTTACAGCTGTAACATCAACACCGCAATCTGAAACTGTGATTTTGATTGCAAGATAGGACACTTTGTATGTGTCTTGACTGGGCAATGCGCTTCGAYATCATCATGGGAATTGCTCGAGGACTTCTCTATCTTCACCAAGATTCACGGTTGAGGATTATTCATAGAKATTTGAAAACGAGTAATGTGTTATTAGAYGAGGAGATGACTCCYAAGATTTCGGACTTCGGTTTGGCTAAGATAGTTGAAGGTAGAGAAACCGAAGCTAGCACTGGCAGAGTTATCGGAACCTAGTAAGTACATTGCACCCAATCTGGTTCTAGATTTGTACGGCCAAATATTTATTGAGCTTGTTAATTTCTGCACCTCGCCCTATGGAAAAGAGTTGTGTTCCTTGAAGTCTGTTGTAGCTCTCTTCAACTTTTGGAACTTGTAGACTTGTTTTGATGATATACATGGATTATGATGTTGTTCATTTGCAGTGGCTATATGTCTCCAGAATATGCACTAGACGGCTTGTTTTCAGTAAAATCCGATGTTTTTAGCTTTGGAGTAGTTTTACTCGAGATTATTAGTGGTAAAAGAAACACCGCTTATTATCAGAATCAACAAGCCTTTAGCCTTATCTCCTACGTAAGTTCTTTAAACCCGAATCTTAATTGCTTTTGTTTTGAAAACCAATCTTGATGCCTGCATTCCTTTCAGGCCTGGGGTTTGTGGAAAGACAAAACACCAATAGATTTACTGGATCAAGCATTAGCCGAGTCATACAACTCGAGCGAAGTATTGAGATGTATGATTATTGGGCTTTTGTGCATACAAGAAGACCCTCGAGATCGGCCAACAATGATGGAGGTAATTATGATGTTGGGGATGGATATCAAGAGCCTCCCGGATCCTAAAGAACCGGCTTTCGTTTCAAAAACACAAGTTGATAGTATGCAAACGTCTTCAAGTAAATCCGAGATCAATCAATTGACTATTACCAATGTAGAAGGGAGATAGATGAAGAACATAGCTTTTGTTGTTTTCTGAAGCTCTATACACACTCATGCCTTGTTTGGTTGGTTTGTAATTAAGTCTTTAATAAATAAAGTTACATGTGTAATTAATCTGTAGGAGAGAAATTGTGTATAATCTTTAACCGCTTAGGTTGTGACGTACTGATTAAGGCTCAAGGGATGTAGTGCAAATTCCACATTTTTTGGGTTTGAATCTAGATGTTGTCAAACCCTTTTATGGTTATGGAGGTTCGCTTGCACCGACTCTAGATCATTACTGGTCCCTTGAAAATTAATCCATACACAAAGCTAACACATCTTTTGATGTTTAAGACAAGTTTTTTAGGACATTTATAAAATAAAACATCATATTAGCTATTTTATAAGACATTTTTGAGAATTATTCTATAGATACATCTTTCTATTATAACACTTTCTAATAACGTCCTATAAAAATATATTTAACGCCATGAAGGCTGAAAGTCTACATAGATCAGGTCCAATAATTTCTGGTTTGTAATGTAGCTGAATCCATTTAATATTATGATGGGCCTGGGGATTATTTTAAGCCCAGAACTACAGGCCCACAATGACCTCGAAAGCTTGTTGTATAGGCTATAGACTAGTGATCGCCAAAAATCGGTCCCGAGCCTGGTCGGGCCTAATCGGTCCCAAGCTTTCTCATAACCAGCCATAACCGGTTCCGGTCAAAAATGATAAGACCGGTCAAGGTACTTCATAACCGGTTATGGGCCGCCGGTCCCACTCATCTGGAGCTGATACTTTGGTTGTGAATCAATCTCTTTCTGGAGATGAAACACTTGTCTCTCTTGCTGGAAGTTTTGAATTGGGTTTTTTTAAACCAGGTAAGTCTCCCAATTATTACATAGGCATCTGGTATAAAAACATCTCTTCCACCATAATTTGGGTAGCAAATAGAGAAACACCCATCTCCCATAGATTCTCTTCAAAATTGAAAATTTTAGATGGTAACTAGGTGCTCTTAGATGAGTCAAACACTCAGATTTGGTCTACAGATGTTATGATCTCTACTTCTTCAACTTCGGTGTCAGTAGTTCTTCTTGATAATGGCAATTTAGTCTTGAGAAATGGTTCACGTTCAAGTCCACCAATTTGGCAAAGTTTTGATCATCCAGCCCATACCTTGTTGCCTCATAGTAAGATTGGATACGACAAGCGGACACATAGAAAGCAGGTTATTACTTCATGGAGAAGTAGAGAAGATCCTGCAGTGGGACTCTTTTCTTTAGAGATTGACCCAAATGTGCCGCAGTGGGTACTTAGGTGGAATAAGTCTGTACAGTATTGGACTAGTGGATATGCTAATCGTCAAATCTTTAGCTCAATGCCTGAAATAAGGTTAAATGATCTCTATAATTTCAGCTACATTAATAATGAGAATGAGAGTTACTTTGACTATTCTGTATATGATCCTTCAATTATTTCTAGATGCCTCAGGGCACATCCAGCAGCAGACATGGTTTGGAAATGTGGAGCAGTGGCTTGTGATTTGGTCTCAACCTAGAACAATGTGTCAGGTGTATGCTGTTCGTGGGTCTTTTGGTACTTGCAGGGAGACTAAATACTAGAAGATTATTGGTTTCGACCCCTGCAAAAACCAATACCAAAGTGCTTGTAGCAGGTAATCTCTAGCTGTTTTAATTATAATTTCCATATTTATGGACCCTTGCACTTGCAGATAATACAATGATAGAGGACCTTTCTATCCATCCCAGGAATCTTGTCAGGGCGTTTTGGTCTTTCATTCTTTGCAGCATTGGTGTTATGTTGTACACAAGGGTGAAAAGGCAAGGTAACTACTACAACTTTGTCTTTTTGATTCTAGGTGTAAATTACATTTTCAGTTTTAACCCTTTAATATTTTTCAGTTTTAATCCTTTTAACTTTTATAATATTTTCTTATTATATTTTTTATGTTTTTACTTTTTAATATATAAATTAATTAACTTTATATTATTATTAATTAATAA